ACAGAGCCCAGGCCGTGAGTTCAAATGCAAGGACCAGCAAAGAAAACAAAACAAAACAACACAAAAAACTTTTAAAATTTGAAGGATGTACACGAAATATCTAATCAGTATTCTTCAATTAATAAATCACAAAAGACAATATCACTTTCCTTTTTGCTGTAGGGCATTTAGCAAAATCTGAATAAGCTTTTTATATTGCTAATTTTAGTGGTAATTATATTTCAAGTTATAGAATTTTCTTGCTTTTAGGAAGTACACAGCAATATATAGAGATGACAGAGCATATATCTAAACCATATCTTCACACATTGTGGGCAAAAAATATAAAATTACTGACATGTCTTCCAAAGTGCATTCCATTCACTCTTCAGACTTTGTGGTTGCTATTTTTTATTCTTTTCATCACTTCACAACTCTATTACTTTTTTTCATTTTCCATTTTCCTTTGTTACAGGGCATTGAATATCAAGCAGCTATGGAATGTCTACAGGAAGCAAATAGAAGGAGTTTGTTGTCTGAAATTCAAGCACTGCATGCTCAAATTATTAGGATGATACTGGAAAAAGAATGAGAGCAATAAACCAAGCCAAATTATGCTCAATGATAGGCTCATGTGATTTTACAAATAGATGAAAATATTTCAGCTTGATGTCTTTATTAGTCAGTTGAAACATTTCTTCTCAGTCATATTTTATTCTCATTATCTTTGTACTTAGTAGATAATTTATATTTATTACTGCAGGGTTATAGGTATATTTAATTTAGAATATGTAGTCTTACATGCAATTTAAGACCATTAATTTCTTTGGGTTTATTTTATTCTTATTTATTATAAAGGTGATAAACAGGGGGTTACAGTTACATAAGTAAGGTGATGAGTACATTTCTTTTTGTTACCCCCCTCATTTTCTCCTGTTTTCCCTTCTCCACTCCTTTCTTCCCCCCCCCCAGGCCCGCTAGGATGTAAAGTTCATTTCCATCTTAATGTAGAATGAGTGTCATTATCGCAGCATTAGTTCATCTGTAGCCCAGCTGTTTCTGTGATTCCCATTTCCTTCCACTACTTATATACAAGACAAAGGGTACAACAAACAAAATAAAACAAAAAAGAAAAAAGAAATAACTGCAAGCAGTGTCTTAAAAGCCCTATAAGAAAACAGTCTTTCCTACTCTTTGGTGAACAACTATCCAAAGAAAAGAAAATCCACAATTTTCAAATAGTTTGTTTACAAAATTGAGAACTACTCTACATATAGAAAAGTGTAAAATTCAAATACATATTATAGCAAGTTTATTAAATGAATATTATGTTATCTGGTCACTGGTGACTCATGCCTGTAATCCTCTAATCTCAGGAGGCTGAGAACTGAGGGTATTCTAAGCTAGCCCTGGCAGGAAAGTCTGTGAGATTCTTCTCTCCAATTAGCCACTCAAAAACTGGAAGTATAACTGTGCTAGCCTTGAGCAGAAGAGCTGAGGGACAGTGCCCATGCCCTGAGTACAAGCCCCATGACTGACGAAAAGAAAAAACAAAAAGAAATTAATAAAGAATATTGTGACAACATTATCCATGTGGAGAAGAACATTCTCCAAATCCTTAAAGGCCCCTCATATGCTACCCAGTAATAACTGAGAAGCAACCATTATTTCAGCCAGGTGCCAGTGGTTCACACTATAATCCCTGTAATCCTAGGCTCTTCAAAAGGATGAGACTGGAGGTTGCAGTACAAAGCCAGCCAACACACATAAGTCTATGAGACTCCCATCTCCATTTATCCAGCAAAATGATGAACTAGAGGCACAGTTTATGTGGCAGAGTGTCAGCCATGAGCAAGAACAGTGAGCCAGAATATGAGGATTGTACACACACACACACACACACACACAATTTGAATGACTTCTATGTCTTAATGTTCCCCCTCCATTAAATATAGAGAATTTATGGAAAGTACTTGAGAGCAGAAAGTTTCCGCAAAGCTCTCATTTATCAGAAGAAGTACTTGCTGCTGTTACTGGGTGGGTTCCAGGAATGTGAGGAGGCCACCCTGGCACTGCTTGCCCGCATGGGGGGACAGCCAGCCTTCACCGACCTAGAGGTGATCACCAACCGCTTCACCAGGTTTCGTTCTGCTGCCAGAGTGTCCATTGCAATTTCCAGGTAAGTCCTCACAAGAAAACTCATTTTATTAACAGATACTCTAATGTAACTTTGCATAATTAGGAGATGTTTACCATCACTGAAATGTGTGCTTATTTCTCTCTGGGGTCTCATTCTTTTAGCATAGTTTCCATTTATTTATTTATTTATGTCAGTCCTGGGGTTTGCACACAGGATAGGCCTTACACTTGCCAGACAAGCACTCTATACTTGATACCCCAGTCCTTTATGCTTTACCCTTCACAGAGGATCTTGGTTTGGTTTGGTAGACTGTAGTGCTCCTATCTGGTCTCCTGCGTAGCTGGGAATTGAGATATGAACCACCATGCTTGAGTTGTGCATTGTGATAGGGTCTCACTTTTGTGTAAGGTAGCCTGAAACCAGGATCTTCCCAACTTCCACCTCCCAAGCAACTGAGATTATAAACATGAGCAACCACATGCTGTGGTAGCAGGGATTCTTTACACTGTACTGTGTAAATCCTCTGAAATGGGACATTCCAAATAACATGCAGCTGGTGACTCAGCTTATATATCCACCCTGCATTCTTTTTTTATTATTAATTCCAAAGAAGCCCATGAATATATAGTTGAGATCATTAAAGGGAAAGTTTCTGCAAAATTACTCTTTAGGCTACTGTACACTCCATTTTCTTCACTACTGAAATAAGTCACACATAGTACCCAACATAGAAAGCCCTGACCTCACTCTGCACTCAGGTATTAAGCTATAGGGCTTGAGGCTCTGCTGGTGCTGTCACTGTTTCCCTAGTAATCCCAGGCTAGAAACTTGCTCTGGGTTCTCTGTGGTTGAAATGGAGGCCTAGCCCAATGTAGTCTTGGCCTGGCCAGTCCATATACCACACGCCTAGGCTTCTCTCAGGACCCCCTCCCTTGTGGGCCAAAGGAATTTTGCTTTGCAAAAAATGCCATGATCAGATCAGGTTATATCTGATGCTTCATCTTCACTTAGTTTCTTTGAAGTATACACTACAATTTCTGAACTGGCAGCTGTCTGAAATTACTAGTCCATATTCTAAGTTCACAGATGAGGAGACTGAGATGGATGAGGTTACAAAGCCAGTAGATCAAGTCCCAAAAGCAATCCTGGGCCAAAAAAAGTAGTTCTGGCAGTATAACAATACAAGACTTAAAACTTTACTACAGAGCTGTAGAAATGAAAATAGCTTGGTACTGGCACAAAAATAGGCCTGAAGACCAATGGAACAGAAGACCCAGAAACAAACCCACAGACCTACAGCCACCTAATATCTGCATGATTTCTCTCATTTGTGGAAGTTAGATCTAATTTATAAATATATGAGTAATTATGTATTGAATCATATGCAAGTGTTCACAAACATATTGACCAAAGTATGGTATTTGCAGAGGTGAATTCGAGTGATGTGAATCCTTAGAGAAACTAACAAGTACTTTCAACAGCAACTGGTACTTGAAAGGTGGGGGGAGGCCCATGGAAAGTGGGGAGGCAAATGAAGAGAGGAAGTGGGGAAAATTCAGTCACAGTATTCAATGCCTAGCCATGAAGACACTAGGAACATGGAGGGTAGTGAGGTGGGGAGGGATGGGGAAGATGATAGAAGGAGTGATATCAATCAACATGCATTGTTCTTATAAGCTAACATACTGAATGGTCACCCTTTTGTATAACTACTTTACTTTTTAAATTTTAAGCTAGTAGGGCTAAGTACTGGTGGCTACGTCTAATCCTAGCTCAGATCAGAGAACTGAGGTTTGAAACCAGCCATGGGAAAGTCCATGAGACCCTTATGTCCAATTAACCACCAAAAACTGGAAATGGAGCTGTAGCTCAAGGGTACAGTGCTAGCCTTGAATTAAAAACTCAGGGACAGTGCCCAAGTCCTGAGTTCAAGAACCAGGTATCATGTCAGTTCTCTAAACTGAAGCTCAGGTTTTATCTTAGTGTTAGATTTTTATTTTCCTGCCTCTTTCATTCCACATTGTAGTTTCACATTCTCATACCCTTCATTTTGCCTGGTAGGGGAAACAAAGTGCTGAGACATATACTGAATGAAGACTTCATACCTGCCTAAAAAGCCTATAGGCTCCTCACTTTTCAGTGGAGAAGAGTAGACACAGAACTTTGAAGACACAGATGAGAGATCACAAGAATTAGTAACTTTGAACAGAGAAATTGAGGCTCCAAAGTTTAAAAAGTGCTACTGAAAGACTTCACTTTAGCTCCCTTTCTTATTCTCTTTTAAGTTCTTTGTATTTGACCCTCCTACAACTGAGCCTTGATACCAATTATAATTAAGAAGTCAAAATCGGCATTCCATAATGCTCAGGGAGTCAGGGTGGTTCAGGCAGCAACTTAATGCAGCTGATTCAAGACATGAATCCCATTCCCACTGAAACCAGCATTGTTTTCTTGCTCTTGATAACATGATCTAACCTGTCCTCTAGCTTTTCCAGCTCTCTTGCCAACCTAAAGATGTTTCCTTCCACTCATATGTCTTTCCTTCTCTACTTTTTTCTCCCTTTTTTGTCTCCCCCCCCCCCACATTTTCTTTGTTCATCTACTTTTCCCTGTCTCCTTTTGCTCTAGATGTCTTTAGGCCCCTTTCATCCCTGAAGCTAGAAATTTAGGAGGCCAACACTACATTTGTATTGCCTCTTGGGAAGTGGGTGAGGGGAGCTTTTAGCCTTGTTCTTTTCTTCCAGTTGATTGTTCTGTAAACCACAGGGGCATTTATGTAGTTTAGGTGAAGCAATTGTGATGATGTTGTACTTTGTTCATACTCCATACAATTTATCTTCTATACATGTGCTGTGAAATGTTATGTTGGCATCTTTTTTAGGATGAAATTTTTGGTTCAGCGGTGGCATCGAGTCACGGGTTGGGGTTCCATCAATATTAACAGGGATGGTTTTGGACTGAATCCAGGTGAAATCCAATAGTGTATTTTCTTAGAACTCTCTGAAATCTCTGCATGTGCAATAACTTCGAAATATAAACTCTTAAGCCATTGTTATCTAAAACAAGCCTAAGTAACAAGGCTGGAGACTCCTCATTTCAAGAATATCAATAGCTGCTCTCTGCTCTTTTCTAGCTCTTTCTCTTCTCTTTCCCAGTTCTCTCTTTCCCAGCTCTCCCAGCTCTCTTTCCCAGGCCTTTCCCCACCACGTGGAGGACCAAGATGGCCTGGTGCCAGCCGAAACGATGAATAAACCTACCCCTTACCTGAATACCACATGCGTGGTGCTGTTCTTACTCGGCTACCTCTTTTTAAAAACCTAATATAAATGGTGCCGTGACTTGGATAAAGGGCTTAAAGTCAAGATAGCTGGGATTCCTCTCTGTTTTTTTTTCCTCTTTTTTCTTTTTTTGTTTGTTCTTCCTTTTTTGCTCTAAGGAATACCCACAGTTCTGATGGCCTTTTGCAAAACTATCTGTCTGCTGCGGACACAAAGCATCAATACCATTGCTGGCCTTCACATCCACGTCCATACCACTTCTCTACTCTGGTGAGTGAAACTACTCTTTACGGCTCTCTGTTGCTCAGTCTCTGTCCAGACATGGCACCACGCCAGAGAGCTCCTACGGCCGTTAGCTGAAAGGCCGGTCACCTCTGAAGCCGAGGACCCTTGGTTTTGGGGGCTTGGCCATTTCTCTCTAGAGGGCTCTGGGGGAAGTTGGGATGCTGCTTCTGCCTGGTCAGCTCTCCACTCATCAGACTGACTCTCCTATTCATTTAATGGAGTACTGTGAATCACGCCTGAGCCGTGAAACCCCTTTGAAATGCCTCCTGCGCTCCCTGGAAAGCCAGAACGCCTCATTTTTATGCCATTCTCAGATGTAGACAGTTTTTGCCACTGCAATGGTAAATGGTCAAAAGTCTGTTTACTTTCAGGCTCTCTTTGTTCTCTCTCTGCCATTCATTCCAACTTTCCCTGTTTCTCCCGTTCTCTTTTCTACATTTTGGCTTGTGCCCTGAAGAGTGCGATGCAGGCTGGGTCCCAGGGACTCCCCTCTAGGTTCCCTCTCAAAGGCTGACCAATGTAGGCTTGATCTATTTGTTCAGGCTTTCTTTGCATTTTTTCAGAAATTCGCCATCTTGAGTTCACCATCTTGGCCACATGGTGGGTTAAGGGTTTGGCCCCATCTGGCCCTTAACCTTCCACCAAGCTTACTACTCTATCCAGCAATTCTAAGGTGCCTTGCTAACAAGTTGCTCTTTTCACAGGCCCTGGTAACTGAGGCCCAACCATCTGATATGCTTTGTTAGCAAAGATGTCTACACATTGTTGTCAAAAATTTTAGGTTTTGAGTTTTGCCTTTTTTGTTTTGTGTTGTGTATTTTACTACTGACTACGTGGTTCTAAAATTCTAGGCCTATCTGTGCTAAAATTCTCATCATATCTAACTGTTAGGTTTTTAAAAAGAGGTCGCCAAGTAAGAACTGCACCAGCACGCACGTGGTATTCAGGTAAGGGGTAGGTTTATTCAGTAGACCTGCTGAGACCAGGCAAGGTTGGCACTCTACGCAGCTGGGAAAGGCCTGGGAATGAGAGAGAGCTGGGAAAGAGAAGAAAGAGCTAGAAAAGAGCAGAGAAAGGGGTAAGAACAGTAGCACTCACGTGGTATCCAGGTAAGGGGTAGGTTTATTCAGTAGACCTGCTGGGACCAGGCAAGGTTGGCACTCCACGTGGCTGGGAAAGAGAGGAAAGAGCTAGAGCAGAGAAAGAGCAGAGAGAGCTAGAAAAGAAGAGCAAGAGCAAGAGAAAGAGCAAGAGCGCGTCTGGGCCTGGGCTAGGCCTTATGTAGGGTATGGGCGGGGAAAGGTGTGGCCACATCAAATTCAGATGTGACCTCAGCGGATGCAGATGTGACCTCTTCCAGGTGTCCCAGTTGCCTAGGTAACGCAGGTACTGGGTGGAGACTTTGCTGCGAGGAGGGTGGAGTCTGCTTGCCATCCAGGGGTGGACCCTACACTAACAAGTTTTGTCATTTCAGAATATTTGTTGGCAATCCTTGATAAGGACCAGGTAAGCTCTACTTATTCTATTTGATCTCCCTGTTGCTTTAATTGGAAATAATAAAGGGGTTTTGTGGCAAAGATTTCAGTTCAAAGCCAGCCCGGGCTGAAAAATCCCTAAGACTCCATCTCCCAGCTAACCTACAAAGAGCCAGGCTGGAAGCATGGCTCAAAACTCTTATCTCTAACCAGCCAAACTCTGCAAGTGGTATTATAACTCAAAGTGGTTCAGTGCTGGCCTTGAGCAGAAGTGCTCAGGGACAGTGCCCAGGCCTTGAGTTCAAACCTCCTTGAATACCAACTGGGACAAGCCATCCCAGCAACGAGCACCTAGACTCAGCCAGTCTGGGGAAGAAGGGAACATGGAAAGGAGTAAGAGGAGATGATGTCACATCAACCACTTTGTGCCTGCCCTTTCAAAATTAACCAGAGCCGGGAGGTCAGTAGAAGAAGCCTGCCCATCCAATGTCTCTACCTGTCTACCTATTAACTGAACAGGAATTTATATTCTTGGCTTTGTCATCTGACTTCTCTACCTAGTCGCCAGATGTCAGAAGTAGCTAGGGACATTTCTAACAACATTTTCAGCCCCAAGTCCTACCTCTTGCCATTTATTTGCTCTCTAGTATTTTTTTCCAGCCCCTCAATGCTCATGAGACTTCTCTACACTTCATCTAAGGACTCACACCACCAAGGGACAGCTGCTGCTCGCTGCCTTCTCTGGGAGGGGACCAAATTCCAGCCTTTTATTTATTTATTTTTATTAATTTATTTTTGTCGGTTGTGGGCTTTTTATTTATTTATTTATTTATTGTCAGTTGTGGGGCTTGAACTCTGGGCCTGGGCGCTGTCCCTCAGCTCTTCAGCTCAAGGCAAGCGC